ACAATATTACAGTTATGGTTCTTACATGTTTACTTGTATAAATAAGGATTGGTGGTAGCTAAGTAGTTAGATTAAAAGTAGTTATATATTATTATTGTAGTATTGCCATACATGTGAATGCGATTAGAATATTCAAATTAATTAAAAAAAAAATTTTGACTGTTCAAGATTTTATTTACAAATATTTCCCGAAATCAGAGGCGCTTAAGTCAAATTTCGACTTAGAAGTTTATATGTAATAAATTAAAATTTTATTTAATTTTTGAAAATCTCTCAAATTGACAGACTTGTCTTGCAGGTCAGCGACAGCGTTGGTCCATAAGAAAAGGGACAGTTTGAGCGGGTTCTGGCTGACGGGCATGTCGATGTGGGATATCGCGTCGGAAAAGTTACTTGAGTTAATGACAAGCATGAGTTTCGAGGGGCTGCTCTAGGCGAGACTCTGCGCGCTCGTTGTCGGGTACAATAGATCTTATAGATGTATCATCTATAAGATCTATTGTACCCGACTACAGATCTATTGTATCTTATAGGTGTATCATCGCCCCATTCTGTAATCTATACAATTAAGATAACTAAAATAAATTTTATGCCCTCCATTTTTTTTTCTTCGTTTATGTCTAACATAAAATATGTTCAGAATATAAAGCAAAGTTGTTAGTATTGTCTATCCTATTCTATAACAAGATGATACACAAATTTTAAAATTTACCCAACTTATTTAAATTGTAGGAATATTCTTGTTAAATATTCCCTTACTTGTTGTTTATCTTTTGAAGTGGTTTTAATTGTAAAAATATATTCCTGCTCCTATTGAAAAAAATTATTTTTATTCTGTTGTATTTTACCACTTAAAAAAATATTTAGTTCAGGGTTAAAGGGTTGAATTTTTATTTGGTGTTTGTTTTGTTTACATACTACAGAGGGTAAATTAAATTTTTCATTCATAACATAGTTTTTACGTCATATTTATGCAAAATGCAACACAATATTCAAAAATGCCAAAAAAAAAAACAAATTCAATTCTAATATGATTTTATGGAATTTTTACGTATTTTTTCAACAAGTATCTATAAAATTATTCTCAAAAATTACCCGAAAAAATAAAACTAAGAAAATAAATAAGCGATGAATATCTACCCATAGTATTTCAATGATAAAGTTTCGCTGTATGAATATTAAAGGGGTAAAATGAGTAAAAAGTTTTTGCTGAAAATTTAATAAATCTTGTAAAATGAACACAAATATTCTCTTAGGAAAACAAAATCTATAGAGTCTAGTTTAGTAATAAATTAATTTTAAACATATTTTCATCAAAATTTAAGAACATGAGCACAACATTAAATGTTGTGGTTCATGTCCTTAAATTTTTAAATACTCACATTTTAAAATTTTAGTGATTATGTTTTGTAATTGAAAACAACGATATATGCAATGAATGATTTGCAGGATTTCAACTTTAATTTCAATTTGTTTACCATTCTGTTTTTAATACATGAAAAATTGAAAAAAAAATATGCAGCACCATAATGCATTCTTTCAAATTGTGTAATTAATGTATTTATTAAACTTTGAACTTTCTAAGTAAAAAAAAAATAAAATTAAATTAAAAAAAAAACAACAAAGAAAAATTCAATTACAATTGCATATATCCTTTGTCTTTTATCCTTTGTCATTTCATATGGATAAAATTAATTTAATTACATTCAAGGATTTTCAATTTTAAGATTCTTAAAGTTTTAAGTTTTGTTTTTTATTTCGCCTCAAAAAGTAGTACTCATAAACATTAAAAACAAAAAATATTTTTTAGAAAATTTTCTATTGTTAAAGAATTAGGTAAAATTTTTATGATTCGCACCTGTGTGACAATAAAATCTATAAAATTAAAATTTTTAGTTAAGCAAATATATTCACCTCTAACACTACAGTTTCACTATATTGTTGATAATTTAGCAATGTTTATGAACAACATTGCTTTGCAACATTTTTGTTCGCAACCACAAATATACCGCAGGTTTCTCTATATAACGTGATACGAAGCCGTAATATTTTATTTACTGAAAATTACACCAACAAAATTAATCTAACTACCATCCGATAGGTGTATAATTTAAGATACTGTGTCAACAGTACAACAAACACTAGATACTCTTGAAAATTACTATACGTTACTTTCCTCAAAATTTAATGCTAAAATTTTGAAAATTCAGCAAACTTAAATTTAAAATTCTGGCTATATGGAAGTGCGATATACCTACCTACACAAGTATGTACAATTGAAATCGAAAAACAAAGAAAATAAATTAATTCTTAAATAAAGTGAAAAATTTCTAAAACTAAACTAAAAAGGCAAAAACTTTTTAAATACAAGAAAACTTTAAAAAAATTCTTAACTTCTCTTTTATTCGGTAATAAAATTTTGTTATAAAAAATGTTGACAATTAAAATTTGTAATTTTTACAAGTTTGTGTATTAGAAATTGTACACGTGGCGGGTTTTTTTTATACTTTTTAAAAATATACGTGTACAGGAATTAAAATGTTATACCTGGACATAGCATCAAGTTTGTATTCACAACAATTACATAATAATATTACGTAATATTTGAGGTTATCAATGCACATAGCATCAAGTTTTGTGAAGTTACTTCTATCCTTTAACTACGGTATAGATTGTACAGCGGGGGCAACAGTGCACCGCGTCCACGTGTAAGGATCTATTGTGAGCCTTCCAATAGTGCGAGACATGTTCTACAACACACGATCGAGACCCATTCTCCTGATGAATTCAAGCAACTTGTGAGGCCAGGGAGACCGCACCTTCGTCGCCGTGAGAGCGAAGCCCCCCACTTGCTCTTATGAGCGAGAGTATCACATTTCCATAGAAGGTGCACTGAGGCCTCTTAATCCTTCCCACAGAATCTGGAAATTTACCCATTTTTCAGGCCCAATCGACTGAGGTGCCCCTAGGACTGCAGTGTTCCGACAACACCCCGGTGAGAATTTTCACCTGATTCTTGTCCATTCCTATAATTTTCTTAAATCGCTTCTGATCATAATCCTCAAGGAGCTCCTTGGCAGCTGCAGTCTCAGGAGACTTCTCTAGCGCTCTGACCGCCTTCACTCTGATTCCTTCGCTAATTCCCAACGGTTAGTCCGGTTCCGCATTTTATTTAGTTTCTCAAGACAACCCTATATTACCGCAGAGGATACCGAAAAATGTGCTGAGTGCTCCGATGGCAGCCCGACTATGCGACATAATCATTATCTCCTGTCTTCGATACCCTCTTTCCAGATTGAACCGCATACAAAATTCAATAGCGTGCACCTCGGCTCGAAACACGATCGGAAAAGTAGGTTAGGTTCCATAGGTTTGGAGAATTTGGTTTTTGGCCCAAACACGCCCGCACCCGTCTCCATACTAATTTTTGACCCATCAGCGTACCATCTGATAATGTGTGTTCCCACTGGGTCTCTAACTATTTTAGCATCACTAATTTTAATTATCAGTCAAAAATTATCAATAAAGTTGTGAACACTAACAACCTTTTTCGGACGGCGGGCCATGTTTAATGCGATTTTTGTTCGATAATTCATTTAAGTCCGGTTGGGTTTAGAATATGAATAATCACAGTGGCAAATTGGCAAACTGAAATGATGCTATACTTGCTAAATTATCTGTCATATACGCTAAGTAGAGACTTACTTTATACAGTAAAATTGGTTTGATGCTTTGCCCGTGGTCCCAACATTTTCGACTCCTGCCTGATTATATTCATTTGAAAAATTTATATCAGATATTATTAATTTTCAAAATGAAACTTTTAAATACAATTTTAATTTTCTATACAATGAACGTGATTTATTTAAATTAAAAGACGTCAATAATTATTCATTTGAGTTACTCAGAATTTCCCTATCATTGAAATAATTCTGAAAATTATTAATCATTCATAATTTTCGTTTTTTAGAAAAAAAAAAATTATCATGACCATCAACGTTATCTGGACTTAGTTTATACAATATTACAGAAGTAAACAACAGGTACAAAATATATAATACAATCAAGTAAGCAGGGTGTACCAGATATACTGTGTTATTGGGTATATCATATTGAAATTACAAGAGTATTTTGTTTTATAAAAATTATTCCATATTTCAATCTCAATAATTGCTCAATCCATAATATTTAAAAAAGAATTTCCTCTTGTCTTTAAATAAAGCTTTCTATAACATTTTAAATTTTTATGCTCTTTTGCCATAAATCACTTTAAAATTAAACCAAGGTAATTTATGTGATAAGCTATACGAGTAGAAGCTAATCTTTAATATTATTCGTAATTGCATACAAATAATATACAAATTAATGCAAACAACATGTCTACGTCAAATTATTTTTAGATAGACAATATGTTATTAATGTAATTAGTAATTAAATCTGTGATTTTAAAATGTTATAAATGAATCAGGAATAATTACCAGATAATTTTAAAATAATGCAAATAATTAATGTGCAACAAGAAAGCTTTTTCAACTGAAATCGCTGCTTATCAATGAAATTTATTCTTAAAGCTGAACTGACCCGATTAGAATATTCATTAGAATTAATGCTAAGATTAAAGTTTATAACAAAATGGTTTTGCTTATTTTCGTATCGTATATCACCTTGTATTAAGATCAATACTAATGAGCACGATTTCGGTCAGAAATCGTGCTATAAGATTAACTAAAAGAGAGAAAAAATTTTTTTTTTTCCTATTGATTCTTGAAATTTGTTTATTAAACTTTTCAATCAATTTTTAAAAAAGCTTTATAGAATTAATCATAAATTAGGTATATTATATTAGCATAACCCGCAATATATACATTATATACGTGTTATATGTATACATATTTACTATATTATGTAAAGAGTATTATTTATTATTAATTTTCAATAAATCTTAATTAGATTTATTATTCAAGTAAGAATTAATTTACTTCAGTTAGAATATTGTATTTAAAGCATAAAGTCTTGTAAATTTGAAATTAAATAAATTTAATTAAATTTTTATAGCATTTAAATTATTTGTTAAAATTTAAGAAATATTATGAAAAAAATTAAGAAAACCCTAGTTTTTTGTATACTATTAAAATTATTGTTAATAAACGCTCAAAACTATCAAGTTTTAAGTACGTAATTTTTTTTTATTATAAAAATTTTTAAAAAAGAATTTTAATACAAAGTGCCTTATTATCTGAAGACCAGGATTACTGTTATTATTATACAAGTTCAATTCGTCGGACAGTATTCTGTCGACTTTGTATAAATTTTTATTATTTTCAAAAATAATACCAGTGAATGTATGAAATTTTGTCTAATATTATTACAAAGTTGGTGTTTTAAAAGAAATTATTTTAACATAAAATAATAGCGCTTTGCAATTATGGTTATTCTATTTGGAGTTATCAATAATTTGACCCCATTTTAAAATAGAATGGTGTATGATTTTTATGTTATAATAAAATTAATGCAAAAAATGAAAGGAAATTCTATTAATAAACACATATACGCTATGCAAATGAGGCTGATATTGTAAAGCAAAATAATTAATTCATTCAAAAATGTCATCATTTTAATGAAGATGAATTTGTTGTAATAAAATAGTTTTATATTTAAAATGGTTTAAATAACAAGTATTTTAAAAATTTATCCTTTTATATTTTAAGGAATAAACCATCATGTACTTCCAGCAGATACTGTAGTTCGTAGAGTTATGAGACCACTTTCACTGCCATTTAAACGACATGATGTTGTAGAAGAATTTTCATCAAGAGTTCCACGTTTTGTTAGTCAGTTTCGTATGCCATATTATAATTTTCATGGTAACAATAATTATAAAGTTGATGCATCAAATTATTTTCCGCAAGGAATTATGAAAGATCATAGTTTTGATTGCGCTTTCCGTTATAATGAAAACTATAAATCACCACAGACACCAAATGCTTGGAATTTAATAAATGTTAACGATGTTGGTAATGGAAATCGGTTTTGTTTAAGATTAAATCCGCCAAAACGATCAATTGATGTTGAAAGAACTAATGCAGGTCAAACATCAAAAATGAGTGTTCCTTGTCCTGAGGTAGATATTTTATTGATTTAGTAATACTAATATTTACAAATTGATACATATTAAGGTTTTTGATGGAGATTGGCATGATGTGAAGTATAATTTGAAAAATAATCGGGTATCATTGTTTGTTGATTGTCAAAATAAGGAGGTTGGAGAAAGTGTGCCCACCGAGAGTTCTGATAATGATCCATTTGGTACTGGAATTGGTTTAACACTTGTACAAAGTAGTGTTCCTAAAAATGTAATTTGTTAGATAAAAAACATTTTTATTTATTCTATTATTACAAAAAAATAATATAAACTCTCCATAATTTAGGTCGACATAATGAAAATGGTTTTCAATTCGCTCCCTATGAAAATACCTCATGGTATCAAATGCCCCGAATTAGAAAAAATGGGTAAACCTATTAAGCGAATGCCTCAACCAAGTCCATTGCCTCAGATACCACCTAATCAAGAGCCACTGGAACCTAATCAACCGCCAATGCCACATCCACCGCCACCATATCCAAACTCTGACCCGTTCGAGTCAGCACCACCTTCCACACAACCTAATCAACCACCAATGCCACATCCACCATCGCAATATCCAACCCATGATCCGTTCGATTTAGCACCACCTCCTCCACAACCTCCATTTAATGAAAATTTTGGTCCCGTGACATCACCTAATCCACCAATTTCACCAATAACTGATGAAGCAGATGACATGATGGCAAATTCTTCACCAAATCCTATCAATCATCCAAATCAACCTGATAGTTGTAGACCGATTTCATCAAGCAGTAATTGTGAAAATAATCCCGAACAGTGTGTATGTAATGTAAGCGATGAGATAATAAATTCTCTTAGACAAAACATTCTGAATGAAATCAAGAAAGAATTACCCAATCCAAATGAATGTCCTGCAGCGTGCTCGTTTAACAATCCTCTCTCTGGAGCACCTGGAGTTCCAGGACCACCAGGAAGGGAAGGTATTCCTGGAATTCCAGGAATGAAAGGAGAAAAAGGTGATCCAGGATTTGCTGGTCCACCAGGCAATAAGGGCGATGCAGGAATGCCTGGAGCTCCGGGTATGGATGGAAAACCTGGATCATCCGGATTACAACCCGCTGGAATAGATATTGATCAACTTAAAATGGATATTGTGGATGAAGTGATATGTAAGGTCTTTTCAAAATTAAGAAGGTTTCCTACTAATTTGCATATTTTTTTAAAGCGTATGTTGAACAGTATATAGAGACAAGGTTGAGCTTTGATTTTCCGTCAGATGAAGAGTCCCCTTCAAAATCTGGTGCACCGCCTAGTTTTGTTCCGCCACCTAATTCTGCTCCACCACCGAATAAATATGGTAATCCATCAGGTCCTTCATTTGCAAGTAGAAGTGGTAAGTTTTATTCTAAATTAATTTATTTTTAAATGTGATATTAAAATGTTAATTCCATTTTTTTGCTTATTTCCATATGTACAACTTGCATAGCTCCCGATCAAAACGAACCTGATATGCCAGAAAATAATATAAATGAAAACAAAATTCCAAATAAGCCAGGTAAAATAATTGATTAAAATTTATGTTTCAAAAATGAATAATTGTATTTAATTATATTAAAGAGAAGTCATCGAATAAGCCTTCGAACGATCCAGAGATGAACTCAGAAAATCCTCCCAATACGAGTAATCCAGAAAATCCACAAAATAAACCTCAAAATCCAAAACCTCCAAATGAAAAACCAGATATGAAAAATCCAAAGAAGCCTGAGAAAACATCCGATAATCCTGATGAGATGGAGAGCCCATCTAAAGAAAAAGATCCCCAAAAACCAAAATCGCCAAAAAATAAAAACCCTGAGGAACCTGCAGACTCGAAAGAAGATAGTCCTGAAAAAAATGAAGATATGAAAGAAAAACCGAATGAACCGAAAAATCCAAACCCTTCAAAAAAACCAAAAGATGAGATGGATAAATCTGAGGAACCTGAAGACTCGAAAGAAGACAGTCCTGAAAATAATAAAGACATGAAAGAAAAACCGAATGAACCGAAAAATCCAAACTCCCCGAAGAAACCGAAAGATGGAAAAGAGAAACCAGGTACGTACGTCAGATATTTTCATATCTAAAATAAATTTTGTTTTGAACTTCACAGATTCGAAGGAAAAGTCTTCGCCAGAAAAAGAAGATCCAGATGAAGAAAATCCTCCAGACGAAGAAAATCCTCCAAAAGAAGACTCACCTCCGAAAATGAACAAGCAAAAGAAACCACAAAAAACTCCGCCAAAGAAACAGGGTTAAAATTAGGAACAAATTCAAAATTTTTACTGTTGCGCGAGTATTATTGATTTCAAGATTTTGTGAATAAATTTTTTATAAAAAGTGAGAACCTTATTTTTTTTGTATTAGTGATATTTTGATTTCAAATATAAAAACTCTCCTTATCGTTGTTATTATGTCATTGGAGATGCAATAGAAAATTGTTTGGGTTTTTCCAAGTTCAACTTTTTGTGTCATGTGTGAGTATTTATTAAGCAGATAACACTATTATTTATTTGATTATACTCATGTTTGTAAATTTTGAAAATTTTAAATTTAACAGTCATAGTAAATATAGTGCTGTACTTTCACTTTATTTAGTCAGTTTACTTAGCAAAATGACAATTTGAATGAATTCTAGTTAGATTCTAACAAAATTCGTTTCAGTTGCAATTTTATACCTAAAGTGTTAAGGCATTTTTGAGATTATTTTAACAATACCACGTTTTAAACTTTATTTTCTAATATTTGTAACTTATTTCTGTTATAAAGGGAAATAACCGGAAATATGTGTAAATTAAAAACAATATTTATAATATATTATTCGTTATTAAGAATAATTTTAATAAATGCACAAAACAATGAAATTATGAATATGAAATTTTGGAAATATTTATAAAAAATTATATCAAAAATGTTTCGTTTCCTGTAAAAAAGAACTACTCTGCCTCTCTTAACGTTGTTTTTTGTAATTGAAATGTTAATTGTTTTTTTCAAAACTCAAATTTAATAATTAATAAACGTGACGTGTGGACATTTTCTAAACTTCATACATTTAATTACGGATTTCAGTACTCAAATATCTGGAAGGGTAGTCGTAAATGTTAAAAGTGAATCCACAGCTTTAGTTCAAAAATAATATGCTGATTAGATAATGAGGAATTACTAAAGTGTACATACTTTTTCTATTACATTTTTGAGCATAACATTCTGAGTTTCTGGAAGTTGTTTGAATTTTAAGTAAAATTACCTTATTACTAATGATGTTCTAGCACTTTTAACATTTCTATTTAACACCATTTTGTTTATTTTTGTTAAAAAAAATTATTTCTCGAAAAATATCAGTCAAGAACATTATTTTCTGATATCAAAGCAATTTTTATATTTTGTTTTTCAGGAATCAATAACAATCAGTCTTACAAAATATATAAAATTATAAAGAAAATTCCGATTTCTTTAAAACAACACAATGTTTTGGAAATATTTGACAAAAAAATTTCGAGAGTTGTTTTTAGCAACTCTGATATAACGTATTACAATTTTAATGGCAATAATAACTTCAAAGTTGATGCTACAAATTATTTCTCTCACGGAATAATGGTAGATCACAGTTTCGAAATTATTTTTCGTGTTATCGAAAACAAGCTAAATGCGTCATCACTAAATAATTGGAACTTGATAAATCTTAATGTCCTCTCCAACGAAAATTTTTTTATTTTGAAAATAGCTCCAAATAAAAAATCAACTCAAGTTCAAATATCCCAAAAAGTACGTATACGAACAATAACCTATTCTACTCCTGAGGTACGTAAGTAAATTTTGGCATATTTTGAAAGTTTAATTTTAATAATAATTTTTTAAAGATCTTTGATGGTGAATGGCATGATGTAAAATATATTGTAAAAAATGGTTATATATTTTTGTTTATTGATTGTCAAAGTAAGCAACAAGAGGGTACACCTCTTTCGGACATCCAGCAGAAATACTTCCCAAGTAGTAAAATTACCTTAACAGTTGTGGATAGTAGTACCCCTAAAAATGTAAGAATGTGAATATCAATATTAAGTAATGGTCATAATTTTTTTTGTGCTTTAGGTTGACATAATGAAAATGGTTTACAATTCCATTCCGTTGGATGCACCTCAGGAGATTAAATGTCCCGAATTAGAGAACATAAGAAATTTTCATATTCCATTTTTTGAAGAAGTCCTATCTTCATCACCGGCTGCACCTAATGAACACACTCCGCAACAATGTATTTGTAATATGAATGATAAAGCTTTAAACTTTCTCAAACAAAGCATATTGGAGGAACTAATAAAAGAATTGTCAAACCCTCATCGTGATTCCCATTTGTTTCCTTTATATAATGCCATCGCCGGAACCCCAGGCACACCGGGAAAAGATGGTGCACCTGGAATTCAAGGGATTAAAGGGGAGAAAGGTGACTCAGGTTTAGCTGGATTATCAGGTTCGAAAGGTGCGCCTGGAGTAAAAGGAGAGAAAGGAGAAATTGGTAAAACTGGAACTCCAGGGATTAAAGGCGATATAGGGAAGCAAGGCATTCCTGGGATAGAAGGAAAACAAGGCATTTCTGGGCTAAAAGGTGAAAAAGGAAATCAAGGCCCTGTTGGACCACCCGGATTTAAGGGCGATAAAGGGCGATCAGATACTCCTGGAATGAAAGGAGACAAAGGTGACGTAGGACTTACTGGTCCACCAGGCTCTAGAGGAGATAAGGGTGATTTTGGAATGAAAGGGGACAAAGGTGAAATTGGTGAAATTGGCCCACCGGGAAACGAAGGCGATACGGGAAAAGAAGGTGTTCCTGGCATACAAGGACAGAAAGGTGAAACTGGGAAAGAAGGTATTTCTGGATTGAAAGGCGAAAAAGGAAACCCAGGTCTTTCTGGATCTAAAGGTGAGGAGGGAAAGCCCGGAATTCCAGGATTGAAAGGAGATAAAGGTGATTTAGGGTTGACTGGTTCACCAGGCACTAGAGGAGATAAGGAGGTACCTGGAATAAAAGGCGACAAAGGTGAAACTGGTGAAATCGGGGCACCGGGAAAGCAAGGTGTTCCTGGTTTAGAAGGAAAGAAGGGTGAAATTGGGAAGGAAGGTATTTCTGGATTAAAAGGTGAAAAAGGAGATCCGGGTCTTTTTGGACTACCTGGATTTAAGGGTAATGAAGGAAAACCGGGAATTTCGGGAATGAAAGGAGAAAAAGGTGATGTAGGGCCCACTGGACCACCCGGTTCTAAAGGTAATAAAGGTGCTCCTGGAATAAAAGGGGAAAAAGGCGATATCGGTAGAACTGGGCTTCAGGGTAGTATTGATGATACGGGAGAGCAAGGAATTCCAGGAATAAAAGGAGAAAAAGGTATTGCTGGCATAGTCGGCGCACCAGGAATCCCTGGAATGAAAGGAGAAAGGGATGATATAGGTCCGGGTAGTACTCCCTGGCCTGAAGGCAATATAGGAAAAGAAAATGATGCGTAATCAAAATGAGCATTATTGAAAAGATTAATCTTCATATTTTGGATGATTTACTAAGTAAATAAGTGTTTTATATAAAATTTTTTAAAAGATATTGTAAGAGTTTTTTTTTTAAGTATTTAAGTATTTTAGTATAATAGATTACAAAGACAAAAGATTGTCCTTTTATTTTTACTAATAGATTTCTTCACCGTTTCAATTACAAACATCATTCCGAACTATCACCATCATAAACATAAAAACAATTTTAGTTCTATATTTTAGGTTTGCAAGTAACATTATCTAAAATGTTATAGAATCCTTTAACATTTTGCTTTCCTTTGATATTTTTCTTCAACACATTTGTAAGGTGTTGTTTTATTTCGTTATTCTCCACTAAATTTAAACTATTAAAACATTTAAATAGTATTATTTTAAAATTTACATGTTTTAATCGTGCAGCACATCTAAAAATATGGTATATCATGTATACACTTCGGCTAAGTATACAATTGAGATCTGGCTCTTAAAGTGCGTTCACTTAATTTATCCCATATTTACTTATGCTTAAATATGAAGACATAAAATACATCAACGATATCTCTACTTTTCAATAGAATAAAATCTTTTTCATCTTATATTCTAACTTGATGATGTTCGTTTAATATTTTTTAATGGTATTTTGATTTCACATAAATCCTCCTCTTAATATATATAAAGTTGAATGGAAAAAAAAACGATGAAAATTATTTACTATGACGAACAAAAAAACAGAGGGAGGCGAATGTCGGGGCTTGAAGTGACTTTTTCAGTTATAAATTATTTAGATGAACTTTGTCTTCCTATTAGATGAATTTTTTTTTTCATTGCCATTTACACCATTTCAATAATTTTAGGAATATTTTCTATTTTATTTTTTTTGCATTGCTTCTTAACAATATAGGAAGAGAGCAATTTTTTTTTGTAGATAAAAGGCGAAAATATTCTTGTTAACTGAAAAGAACATGATTATTATTAAAATTTGTCAAAATGTTAATGGATAAAAAATTTTCGGCGTTGTTAAAATTTCATTTTATTTTTAAAGCTGAAAATAATATAAAGAAATCTTTTTGATCAAGTAATGTAAAAATGAAGAAGGTTGAGTTAACATTTAAATTATCCAATAGATATCATGAAAATTTACCCAATATTAATGACGTAAAACAATTTTTTTTGTATTAAAAAATTAAAATTTATGAAGAAATAGGGAAATGTCATGAAAATCTTCAAATAGAAAATATTTTTTAATTTAAAAAAACAAAATTTCTTTTATTTCAAAATAATAATAATTTTTCTATAAATAGAAAAATAAAATTTATGAACGAATAATATTTGTTTTGTCGATATTTCAGCAATCCAACTTGTGTTCTCATATAACTAGCGAAGATATATCTAGGCGAATATTCTCCGGCCCGATTATAATAATTGAAAAATTTCTCTGCTTGAAAAGGACGTTAATGTAAAATCAGATTGCTTTGGATTTCTTGTAAAGAATTTGATCTTTCAAGATTGTTTTATAAGATTTAAGAATTTCCATTATAAGATTTGTTTGAAAATAAGCTATTTGCAAAAATGTAACATAGTCTTTTGGGAAACGTTCTCTTCCAGTGACTTGATTTCATCGAAAAGTTTATCAATTCAAGCGAAATTTCACTATAATTTTCGATGTTTTCTAAACTCCCAGCCATACGGGAGTTCACAAACAAGAAGCAAGGCAGTCAAACAGAGTCTAAATATTGTTTAAGTGTTGTGTATACCTATACAGTTTTAAAATATTTTACAAATATTCTTGCTTATATTTGCGTAATATACAAATTGCGATCCAAAATTTCAATTTTAATTTCGAATTATTTAATATCAACTAAATTTCTTACAAAATTTCTGAAAGTTAAAATTATAACTAGGTACACTGATGATGTTGTATACGAGAAAACTTCATATTTACCAATGATTTTCGTAATATTCCACTTAGTTTTAATGAAATATTGATTTCCTATTCAATTCATTAATATTATTTTTCATTAGCATATTTTTAAGACAAAAGTCCAGCCATATCCAATTAAAGACTCATCAATCAATCATTATAATAATAAAACATAAATAAAAAATTCATATTTATACGCTTAATATATAAATTGACGATAATATATTTTTAATCATCAATAATATTAAAATGAACAGTCAAATAAAAATGACAAACAAGGTTAATATTATCAATACAATATAGCTGTCATAGAGCATCTATATGTACGAGTTTGCACAGCTGTTATAACATTCATTAGAAGAAATAATTTTTAAATTAATAGACGATGAATCCCCTGTACGGCTGATAAATTTAATTGTCGATATAATTTCGGAACATAAGTTTATAATGGTAAAAGGCTCGAGTATATGTAAAAAGACTTTTAAAATCGAGAACGGTTTACAACAAGTGACTGAACTTCTTAAATTATTAGGATGTAAAATAATTATACGTTAGCTATTACGGATGATATTATACTTTACTCACTGAGCAACACAGCGAAGCAAACTGAAAATAGAGTTCAAAAAATGTTTTGCTTAACAAGAGATTTTAGCAAAGTATGGCCTCTAAAGATTTTGTTTCGAAAGACAACGTACAAGGTGAATTTAGATATTAGAAGAACTAGTTTTTTTGTTAAGTAAAAAAGTGATTAAATATCTAGGTGTCTAGTTACATTGAAATTTTAAAATATATAGAACATGTAAAAAAAATATTAGGAAAAGGTAATAAGACATTTATGGCATCGAAACGCTTATTCTACAGCAAAGATATTAATAGTAGGGTAAAGATTTAATACAGGGCGCTTGTTAGACGAGTTATAGCTTATGCCATATCAAATTGTTATAATATTGGGGCAAATTGGAAAAAATTAGATTGTTCGAGAAGAAATGTATAATGCTCTTCTGTATATATATATATAGGGAAGAGCAGAAACCCCGAACCGGGATACCAACGTTATTATTCAAATAAATACATTTATAAAATTTCCAAATTGATCGTGTACGTTTCGCTAGGGCATTAAAAACTTCAGAAGATGGTTTTATATCCAATATATTTTACCACAACGAGGAATATGTTAAACAAACTTCAAAATTGAGTTTTATCGCATCCGAACATTTTATATGCATTGATAGCATAGGTTACGCCCAGGATGTTGAGCATGCCCCTCTACTCTTTCACGTTAGTAGACGGACATTTTAAGTTAGTTGTATTAATACTATACAAATATTGTTTTTGAAACTAAGGTGGGAGTACATTAACATCAATACTTGTATACATTAAAAGATCATAAATATATTGAAAAATTTATTAAACTAATTATACATAATCCCCAATTTAATAATCCGAGATCTATTACAACAATAAAGGTGAGCTCTATCAAAAATTTCAATGATGTTGTAATTTAATAAAATAATATTCAATTAAAGTATCAATTTTTATTCCATATAAAATTCTCGTTCCTTGAATAACTTCAATAATTTCAGTTCAGTTAAATTGTTAAAGCCATTAACAATTATTGTTATTGATCAAATTTTAAATTGTGTGCTTTTTCTTTCTTTAATGTACTCATTATGAGACTTCATTATGAAGTTTCTCTTGAGTATATTAAATTTAAACTCTTTATATATTTTGCTTTGAAGATTTTAAATTAAGGGCCTGACATATAAGAATTTTTGTAAACAATTAATTATAAAATTTTTTGTAAATAATTCATGAGAGTCAACAGTTTTGTTGTAATTTTTCATAAATATTTTTATTATTTATGATTGCAATTTTTCGGGTAAAATACCATTAAATTGAATCGAATTTTAAAGATTTTTTCCAAAAAAAAAAAAATTTCCACTTTAATCTTTTTATAAAAAAAACTCTTTTAAGAAAGCATTAAAAATAATTTCATCGATTTTTTATTCATTATTATTCTTTTAAAAATTTGGTGGTATTCGCGGAAAAAAAAAAACGCGAAATGCAAAACAAGGAAAAACAAGGAACGGAACTTTAATTTTTTTTACTTTGTTTTTGCAGTTGTTTTCTTTCTGGTGTTAATCTAATGACGAAAAAGATGGAATTTTTTTTTCAGAGGTTTTTCTTTTCGCTTTTGCGGCGAATAATAATTTAATTTAATACTTTTTTTCTTTTCTGTTCTTCTTGTTTGTTTGTGATAATCGCATGTTTTTAAAAAACAAAAAAAAAATTCTTTTCTGTTTCAAAGATAAATTTTATTTTGTTCTTTGGTTTTTTTTTACATTTTGTCTTAACTAACAGAATTTTAAGAGAAGAAAATCAAAAAAAAACAAAACCCTTGAAAATCTATGTGTTGTGCGCTATGGGTCGGTGCTTAATGAAACATAAGTTTCAATTTCCCAAAAGAAAACTCGTTATTTTTGTTTGTTTTTTTTTTTAAATGTGCCGGAGGTCGCTCGCCTATTGTATAATATTATGGTGATACGATAAAAGGAAGTAATTATTATAATAAATTTTATGAATTTATGCGTTTCAATGAGTTTAAATTTTTTTCCATAAAATACAAGCATTGGACGAAGTTTAAGAATTTAAAAATAATTTTTTTTTCGAATTTTTATAAAATATAATTGTGTTAATTTTTAAAAAATAAGTTTTTATAATAATAATGATTATTTTTTTTTCATAATGTTTCTCTTTGCCATAACAATTGTAGATTTAAAATAATTAGCAATATGAAGAGCAAACATCATAAAAGTTATTTTAATTAAAAATTATGAATAAAATCTGATGTGGTCAGCATAAAACCGACTGCAGTGTATAATCTCTGATTAAGTGAAAGTGTTACACAAGATTATGAAAATTTTGAACAAGTTCCTTATAATTTTAAAGGCAGAAGTAAGCTTTCAATTAACATTCTTAGAATATTCATGTGCAATTCAAATTCATTGAAAAATCATTTAGTTTCGGTAACTACCAAAATTCAAATATTAAATTTTCCATAAATTCCGTCAATAAGTTCCGTAGATGTAAATCAAAAGTTAATACTGTAAATTTAAATATTAAGATTCCAGGAAATTGGTTGATTGTTTC